CCCCCCCCCCCCCCCCCAACCAGGCCTCGCTCTGCCTCTCTGAATGTCTTTGTTGCATTCTCTCCTGCGGTCCTAGTGTCTTCTCTTGTCTACCAGCTAAGTTGGAGGGCACCGAAGACTACTACTGCCCTGACTTGTTTCCCTCTCGCTCGGGGTCAGGTTGCACAACAACGTGACAGCACCAAAAGCAAAAAGTCTTGACGCTGCCTGCAACTGGACTTTTGTACTCAGGGTGCAGTTTGGAAATGGGACTTGTGACGGCCGTCCTTGCAGCCCTGGCCATGGATGGCAATGATTTGGACCGGCTTAGCACTTTCTTTGGACTGAGCCATGATTTGAGCGGGAAAGGACAGGTGGCTGCTGCCTAACCACTGACACCTACTGACTTCTACAGACCTCTACAGACCCTAGCCTACGGCCTACCCGAAGGAGGTGGCTGCTGCCTAACCACTGACACCTACTGACTTCTACAGACCTCTACAGACCCTAGCCTACGGCCTACCCGAAGGCACCTACTGGAAACTTCTATACAGCCAAGGGAAAAAGGGTGTATGCTACATGGATGATTGGGGCCTCATACTGATACTGGGCACTGAGATGTGTGACCTTGTGAATCCTTTCGCTAAATTACGAGAGGGCTCTAAAAGGGAAGCAATGGCAAGATTGAGGGTTTTGCAGGGGCTTTGAACCTAAGGGGGTGGGAATGCGAGGCTTCAGGCGTTGGCGAGCCTCCACAGGGGCCGCCCAGAAAAAAATATATGCCTGGCCCTAAGTGAAGACCGTGGCAGTAAGAAAATTTGCCAGCCCTGATCGAAGGCTGGCGTTATACAGGCCTTTGTTCGGCAGAACATAAATTTTACGTCAGCAGATGATTTTGTTGTATTGCTCACTAAGGCCGTAGAAGGTACAAAGTACTCAGCCTAGACAAGGCACACCTCTAGCCTTTTTCCAGATATCTGTGATTCTCTTATCAGGCATCAGATCAGACGTGAAGCATCTGCTGAGCACAGTGCAAGGTCAGGAAATCGATTTTGAAAGGAGGCTGTGAACCCAAGCTCTCCAACTAACCAGTAGGCGCAGCGTCTGAGTTAGCTGCAGAGGCTGGAACTCGAACTCAGGAGCAGTTGTTTCTCAGAAAGTCACACGTGACCTCCAGGAAGTAACAAAAGGGAGGAGGCTGCAGC